AAAAAATTTTAAAAATCAGCTAATTGGTAAACGACCACGCCTAGAAGACTGAACAGCACTCTCCATCACACAGTGCACCTGTACGTCGCTTTTTGATCATGCGTTCACTGTCTGATAAATCTTTAGGGCAAATGTCTCCCTTTTTTATTCAGAAGGGCTTAGAGGGGCTTGCTGGCTCTCCAAAGTCAGTTAAGAAGCTACGTTCTGGAGACATCTTAGTAGAAACTTCCAATCCTAAGCACAGTGAACTTCTCTTGAGTTCAAAGGCCATTTGAAATTGAAATTGATCCATATTGCTTATTCTGACCTATCTTTACAGGTGAGGAATATGCTGCAAGTTACATCTCATTAGATTTGTCATATTTCTATGTTCTTAGTTGCTTATTTGAATTGCCCATTGAAGGACATCATGCTGGTTGGTATGTGGACTTCTCCAATACTTTTCTCTCCCATTATTTGCATGATCTGGCAGTTTCTTTTTCTGAGGGTTTTTGCGTACCCCTGGTAGCTGTGTTAACCACATCTGCTAGATTGTAATGAGTGGGTGAGTTTTTTTTTTCTTTTCTCTTCCCTTCCACTGGTTTTCTTTTTCCAGGGTCTCTTATCTTTTTTTCACTGGATTCCACTTTGTGGCAGGTGTTGCCCAGGCAGGTATGCATTTCTCATTACACTTCAACACTAGTAACTACTACTTCACTATTATTATTCCTGGTTGCAACAGGCTCTGTAGAAAGAAGTTGTTCTATAAGGCCACCTAGTTGCTCACCAGGTGGTATTACTATTCTGTGCTGGACCACCACGCATGAAATATCATGAGTAAAACTAAAAGGGATCCTACCCATCCCTGCTGATCATCGGGTTGAATTAACTGGATGCAGCTTGCTTTTAAAAAATTAGGGACTTGGTTCACCTATTGCACTATTTCCAGAGCATTGTTCCTCAGAACTCCTCAACACTAATTACCCCCCCCCCCTCCCAAGATTCTACTGGTGGAGCTAGGGAGTCCTTACCACACCCAATTTCCAGTCACTGGGGTAGTGGACAGAGGTTTTCCTCCAGAGTGTTAGAGTGAATTCCTCCACTCTTAGAGAAGAGAGTGAAATTGAGGGCCCTCCTACCCAGGTTCCTGGATGTTTTTCCCAGTTGTAGGTAAGAGTTGCACCAGCCTACATGGGAGCTTACTCTTAATACCAGTTTAGATTTGATGCTCGACTATCAAGTTGAGATGTACCTGGCCCTTCTTTTTGAGCAATTTAAGCTCACTTTATTGTTTATGGAAAGAGGTCCAGTATCTCCTCATAATTCCGAATGCAGAACATTCCCATCCTGGGTCCTTGGTTGAAAACAGTGGTTCCACATCCTCCCCATAAGTCCGGGGATAAGTGGAGTGCTTCTTGCCCACTTAGTTTGATAGTGAGGATGTATGTTCATAATTCCAGACCAGATGAGTTCTGTGGCATATGCAATCCCATGATTCCGAGCCTGGGGTTTTGCCTTTCGAGCTTCTTCAGGTTGAGAAGGTTTGTCCACTTCAGTGTTGCTTACTTTCTTGTCGTAATTCCGGTGGGTTGGAACACATCACTATGGCAACAGGTTGGGAGTCATTCTATAATAATTTTATCTAACTGACACTCTCCTTCCCTTCCTGCCCACTAAGAGCAGGTGTTAGTGACTGGGATGGTGTAAATCTTGAAGAAGTGACTAAATTATGTGAGTGAGGTGCTTATATACATCACCAGGATGGAGGATGCATTCACATAAATGAAGAATATTATGAGACAGATATCATGAAAGGCATTTAAGGTGAGTTTAAAAGACTGGAGCAAGCGAGACCAATGCTTAGATGGGCAAAGTTGAAAACCTGAAGGTTGAGAAATAGTTGTTATTGTCAGTTGAGGTAAATGTTATTGAAAATACATTTTCAATTTAGGAAAATGTTAATTTATAGTATTATATACCAATTTCTATAATACAATATTCTCATATCATGTGTGCCACCTATTTACTGCTTGTCAATACCATAGAAACATAAGGGAGGTTATACCCTTGAGATGTATGAAACATATGGTATGTTCATATATACCAAACATTTCCTTTCTCTCTTACTTCAAGCTTGTCCTCAAGCCAATAATTAATTTCAAATAAAAAAACAATAAATGTGTACACACACAATGGCCAAGGAGTGTTGTAACTTTCTTTTACCTCTGTAAACACTTACATGCAACAAAACCCTTTAACAATATTTACAATGCATATTGAACATTATAAATGGAATCCTTTAACAGAGATAATGCACTTAGCTAAGTAAATTTTTTTCTCATGGTTAGATCTTTGTAGTTCTATCCATGATATGAGGATTTGATTAGTTGAATATATATGCCCCCGAAGGTGCAAATATTGAAAATGTTTACAAGTACGTTTTGTAAACAACTTTTCCAATATAAGTTTGCTAGTCCTTAGTTTTAGAGTGTGGCTCAAAATACTAAAACTATACATATATTTTATTGAATTTTGACACATTTCACTAGCAGAATAATATAATTTAGGAAACTAATGTCTGTCTATCCATTGTGTATGGATATAAGGAAAAAGAGAAAAGAAATACACAAAAAATAAAGTAAATATATAGGTATAAGATCCACTAAAAATGACTCTTTTTATGGATGCCTATTAATTTCTGTGTGTATTTGTTATTAAAAGTTATCAAAACTTTTTCTTAATGCCAAATTTTTAAAGTTATAATTTTCATGTAATGCTGTAACAACAAAATGATTTTATAAACGCCAATTTTAACAGTATTGTTTTATGTGTCATTTTATGCTTCATACTTAATTGGTTATATGCTTGTCTAGACATCAGCTCCAATCAAAAGCTGTTGTACTGATCATAACAAAAAATAGATATTATATTTTATTCAAATCAGAATTGTTGTATAAATGAAAATGCTCTGGCTGTTTATTTATGTGCTGTTCTATTTAATTGCAATTAGGATGTATAAAGTGTGTAAAAATGCTATGAATATTGATGTATAAAATAATAAAATTATTGTGTGTATGTAGAATTGTTGATTAACTTAAAACAAATTGTACATATTTGTTAGTTTGTACATTTTTTAACTAAATGCTGAAATTCAAACAAGCTGATTAGTCTAAATATTATTAGGTACAGTGTAGTTATTCAATCTGATAAACAAAGTATTATAATTAAGCCATTACAGCCAATAAAAGCTGTTTAGCTAAGGCTCTTTTTTTTTTTTTGACCATATGTAATTGTTAATTCAAAACATGAACTAGGTGTATAATAGACATTTTGTTCTCTGTGCACAGCTAATTATGTGTGTCCCAAACTAATATATCGTTATAATATATTCTGTCGTTGGGTGGGTCCTTTTTTATTATTTGGTAGAAATAAAAATATTTTACATAATAATAGCAAATTTGTTTATTTCTTCCTTAGTGTTTGCTACAGGCTACTTTCACTTGTACTCAATTATAGGCCTACATTCACAAATACCTTTTTCACTTTCAACAGAATTTCTATGCTAACCAACTTATTATCTTAGTAGACTACAAACACTGAATATGCATTGACACTCACTAACTTCTTTGACTTCCCATTCACTACTCAAATGAATACTTCACTGAGCTCTGTTGAACTAGGTGGCACACTAACACTATCTGCTTATTCATATTTATAACTGCATCCTCATTTCTCGATACTTTGTAAAGTCTCTTGATCAGTATATTATCATTATTAGCAGCTACCTCTAGTTATAATATAAATTAAAACATTGTAAAATATAGTTTAAAACAGTCTAGCTTAATTTGATTTGTATGTATTGAGAAAATATCCACTATGGTCTATATTCAGTATGTAAATAGAAAAGACTAGTCTTGGTTAACTAAATTTGAAATGTTTGTGTTATTAAAAATGAATTGTATTAAATAAATATTACTTTTTAATATTAAGGATATTCATTTAAGGTTTTGGAGATACTGTGGGGCAAAGATGAGTTTGAAGTTGAAGACATCATGTTTAAAATATGTAGCAGGTCATTAGCACGAATGGAAGAAGAGAAAGATAAAGATAGTTATGTTTACAGCATTCATGACATGCATCTGGACCATTTAAAGAGTACTTGTAAAGACCAGAAGGTATGTTGAGGGTTGATATTTGTTTGGTTAGATCTGCATAGCCACTTATATGGGAGATGTTATTTGCTGACAGTAATTGTTTGTGAAAATCATTATCATTATAATCATGAACCATGGTAGTGGTTCATAATAAGGATTGCCATTTGATGTTTTTATTATTATTTAATATTGTTCTGACAGGACAACAGTTTTTTTCACTACTGCATGATCAATTTGGGCCATGTTTCACAAACATTTAAAACAATACACAACTATCTAAAACATTATACAAATGTTGAGATTGTCTCCGTCAACAGAAATCATTAAGCCGTAGTTTAAAAGATATCACCAAGCATCAGATAAGCAGTCTTGGTGATGGCTGATAGTAAATGTCAAATTATAGCCAACACTGCATGATTGAAAATTTTATAGATATTGAATATAGGATAGCCTTCCTTGAAGCTCACAAGAATTGTGGAAGCAGGAGATGGCAATTCTAGGTGAAAGTGAGGCTGATATTTTGTAGCTATACGTGTTATTTCGAAAATATTTAGTTTCAGATGAAGTATGCAGCAGCGATGGCCCATTGGAGTTAATAGTCATCACAGTGGAAGAGGTTCGTAGAAAGGGGGGGGGGGGAGGTGTATTAATATAATCTGGCCAGCTGCAGCAAAACTGTGACTGGCCTTACTATGGCCAATGGAGAGGAGGAGGAATGAAAGGGAGAAATCCAGTCCATGCACCATTCCAGAATAGTTCAGTAGTCTCTCCAATCCAGTATTTACAGACTTCCCATATATCTAAAGGGTATAAATGCAGTAGGTATATATATTTTACAAGTATATACATAACACGTGATATGTTGATCACCATGCATCGTAGTGATCATATATGGAGTACCACTATCAATGATAACTTGTGGTAATGATATCAGAAGCATTAGCCATCCAATCTGCATGAAGCGAATCCAAAGGTTGTCATTGTTTCCTGAGAGCATCATACCCAAACTATGTATTTCATTAAACTAAACCATTTCAAACGAGAAAGTATTGCTATTATACAGATTTATGTCCATGATGGATATAAAAACTAAAAAACAAGATTATTAAAAATTCTTAATTAAAAAAATTACAGAAACAAGCTAAGTATCTTAAAGTGAAAATGCAATTATAAAAAAAAAAAGGTAAACAAACAAGCTTAAGGTTTGAAACATAGTGTTGAAATTATTTCCTTAAGCTACAAGTCCCTATTTTAACTCTCTTACAACTTACAGCTGTTTATAATGGGGTCAGGTTAGAGATTTGTAGCTTGAGGCAGTAATGTCAACACCTTAAGCTTGTTTGTTTACTTTCTTTGAAGATCCCTATTCCCCCTTTTTAACTCAACAATTTTTAATATACTTTTTTGAAATGGTATATTTTGAATATTATTAAAATGGTCTATGCTTTAAAAAGAAAATATACTGTATAACTGAGCTTATTAAAATCTAGATGAGGTTATGGGCTTTGTGAAGTCTGTTTAACATATGACCAATAGTTTCTAAGGGTGCCCTCTTTGTATGTTTCACACTGTTATCTGTCTACTTCCCAGCTAACACATGATGTTTCTACAATGTTTTTGAATAGTTGTGCATTGGTAAAATCCATAATGCATGCATTATATATTGTGACAGTGTTGTGGCACTGTTAGACTTTAATATATATATATATATATATATTAATGGATTTTACTAATGCACAACTATTTAGCAGCGTTGTAAAAACATCATGTGTTAGCTGGGAAATTTATATTACTTATATGTACTTTTATGTACTATGTTTGTAATAAATTTCAATTTGTGTATATAATTGATTAGTAAATATACTTATGTTTTGCACTGCACATTTACTTAGTTGGCTTCATAGGGAGGGGCTCCCCCAGTGGCATAGCGGTATGTCTGCAGGCTTACAATGCTAGAAACCAGTTTTCAATACCTGTGGTGGGCAGAGCATAATTAGCCCATTGTATAGTTTTGTACTTAACTTCAAACAAACAAACAAATCATAGGGAAGGTGGGATGTTATGCATATGCATCTCTCCTCATGGAAATCTACTGAATAATGGTATGATATGCAGACATATGATATATTTTTCTCCCTGCTTATAGTTATGTATAGAAATTTGATGTTATGATACAGTATCCTACTTTCTCTCACAAAAACCTTTCTCGACCTTTACTGCTCTCTATTAGGAGTTGTCCAATTTCATTTAACAAACAATTGATGATTGTCTTATCACGGTTTTCAGTGATTGGGAAGTTTTGGATTTGGACAACCTTGTTCCCCCTTCCTGAATGTGCCTCTCAATTGCACATCGTTTTGGGGTACTGGTTAACAGCTGCAAGATTAGAGAGGGTACTTGTTACGATTCTAGCTGTGACTGAGCCATACATTCTGCAATCTGTTCTTGTTGGTTAATGTTCTTTTAAACATTTCCCCTTTTTTTCTCTGCCAAAATTTAATAATTCAATTTGTAGTTGGTTCTTTGTTATTCTGTCATTAAATTTTCTTAGAAGCTCACTTAAATTTTGCAAAGCATCTTTAGGAAGGTTAGTCAAAATTTGAAGAAAATTTTTGGATACAAACATGAAAGGTCTTTGTGTAGTCCACCTTGCAGAGAAAACTGTTGTCTTAAATTATTAATCACTTGATCCATTGCCACGTTAATGTACATACACATGATACTTGTCTTTCCATTGGTTCATTCGAACCAACTTCACCAGCAAGTCTCCTCCTAGTTCGACTTCTTTTCCCTTGAAATCAGGGTCAACCATTATATCATAATTCCTGTTTTCTATTTCATTATTCACTGTTGCTTCAAAATTTTTATCTGCCATGAAAACTTTATCAAAATCTTGAGATATTTTACTTAGATCATTAATGATAGTTTTGACCATTCTCTAAGCTTGAAGTACATTCATGCCACTTGACTGTAAATATAAAGATAGTGGAAATATGTGTAAAAACATTTTTAAGAACAACTGTGCTGTAATTATTGTTTAAAAGCTGGTTAAAGAGTCTAAAAGATTTTTAGCTGTAAAACGTGCATCACTATTGATTTTCTTTGATATGGAAATTTCATAGAACATCTGTAACATATTAATATAAAATAATGTTGTAATAATGCTGATGTATTTACCAAAAACTTTTATTTAGAGATTCATCTTTTAACCACCAACATGTTTCACCAATAAGAGAAATATATTTCAACTCACTTGTTTCTCGCCATATGTTCAAACATAACTCGGACTCTTGAAGGAAAATGACACGTGTGTAAGACTCCAAATAATAATATAACTTTTACAGCAATTTGTTTGACATTGCATATTATCAACTTTGAAATTAGTGCATAGCACCACACATGAATGTGACCTGGTGAAACTGTATTTACCCTTGCACTGAATCCATTGTATTGTCTTTGCATGTTAGATGCCACACTAGTTGTTTTACCAATACATTTGGACACATCAATCACTAAATTTGTAAATACATCACACACCAAATCACAAGGTTCTTTTCTAGTAGTTGACATACAATTTATAACAGATATCAAACATTCATATACAATATTTGTTACGTATCTGATCATTATTGAGCATTGGTCTTGTACATTGATATCTTGGGTTGTATCAATTTGAATGCTAAACATTTGTGCTTCCATAATTTAAACTTAACATTTGTTTCAAAATGACTGTTATTGCATCTATAACAGAATTAGCTAAATTTCCTCATCCTCTACTATTACCAATTGCTTCATGGCCATCTTTGCTCTCACAAACTACCTCATCAGTATGTGCTTTTAGTAAAGGATCAAGTTTGCTACGAAGCAAAAACAACTGTAAAAAGTTATCATGTTCTAAGTTTTCATCAAGCAGTGTATATGCAAACTCTTCAGCATCTCAAAAGACCACATTTTTTTTTATAGTTTGTATTATCATTTGCAAAATTAGACAATTGTGTTTTATGGTATCAGAATTATTTTTAGTAAATGTACATATGTGTCTTTACTGGTGATTTTCAAATTATATGCTTTTGAACTGATTGTATGGAGCATAGACATTTCATGTTCCAATAATTTCTGGTATATATATATATATATATGTTTGATAGTTTTATGTTAAACCCTGTAATAAATGATGATTGGTCTGAATCATTGTTAAATGCAAGATAGAAAGAATAAAACAAATCTTCAGTTTGTTTATTAAAAGTCAACCAGTGATGATGTAAACCATCTTTTCTAAAGTATATATGATCAAACTTTAATTTTGAATTAAGATTTGGTTGTTTTGGATGAAACTTAAGAAAAAAAATTAAATTTTCTGGTTTTGGTCATAAAAATAAATATTTTTATCATCGGCTTCCTCTTTCTCTGTTTCGTCCGAGTCTGATGGTGACATTAATTTCTATTTATTGAATATGGAAAGATGCTCTTGTATCTGCTTGTAAAATTTGACTAAAATCATAAGCAACTGGTCATGTTCATTACAACTTTAAAATTTCATTTTCCACAGTAGCCTTACATACCTCTGCTACATCTGATGGTGGTGAAACATCTGAACCTGAAATATCTATTTGTTGCAAATTTTGTGTAGATTTTAACACAGTGGGAAACATATCTGTTAACTTCTTGTATTTTTTGGCTTCATTTTTTAAAAGCACCTCCTCACGGTCATGTTTTTTTCCCCATCTGCCTTTCATTTTTCTGTTTGTGTTCATCTTCAATAGTGGGATAGTGCTATAAGTTTTAAAACAATAATAATGTCATTTGTCAATAATTTTTTGCTTTAAACTAACTACAATGTACAAACTTTATTTACCTGAATATTGATGTCAGTCACAAAGGGCCTAAACTGTGATACAAAAGCACTAATATTTTACTGTTATTTCTATTAATGCTTGTTCCAAACAACAGTGATGGATCTAGAACTTCAGTAGGGGGGAAGGCTGAAGGAAATTTGTTTTCCCAATTTGAGTAGTAAAAAAAAAATGTTTACAGCTACACACACACAGTGTTCACTCTCTTTCCAAAGAACTGCTTTCTGTTTATTAAACATTACTGAACTGCATTACTATTTTTTATTTTTTTATTTATAATTTTAATTAATCAATCAACCAGCCTACTGGAAAATTCCTATTATCCCAGTGAACCATTCCAACCATGCTTACACATTCTGTTCCACGGTGGTTTTATATCAGCTTTTGGCTGTCCTGTACTTTGCTGGTTTTCTTAACAAAAATCATTCTAGTTTAATGCATTCAACCCTGTGTATGTTTTGAAAACTAGATTGCACATTTATTTGATAACGTTGTGTGTAGTATTTTGCCAGTTTTCCTTGTTAAAGTGAACTCCACATTGTTCTTTGTTTTCTACTCCCCAGTTATGTACTGTGCTATTGTTACAATTAGTAATAGTTTTCACATTAAGAAGTTCATTATAGTTATATTCATAATGGTCAAAATATTTTGTCTTAAACACTTGAAAAAATCAGTATGTTTTCCAATGCTTTTAATTTTAAGGAATCAGTAGATATGCTTCTGCAAGTTATTTTATGTAGAAAATTGTTAAACTACAGGAACTTTCATCTTTTTTTAAAATTTTTTACTTATTCTATATTTCAACTTTAGTAACATTAGATTTGAACCAGTTTGAAATCTATAATAATAATAATAATATTTGTTAAAGGCTTTACATACTAAGCTGGTCAATAAGTATCTGAAGAAATGTGAAGAAAATGGCCTGCATGCTCGAAACTATGGTTTGCTTCCAGAAGATGGATATATCCATTATTTTTTAGGGTACCACATTTACAAAGCTGAGTTGTTTCACCTTTTTCCTGAAATTTTTTTGGACCTGAAATTCATTCAGAAAAAGCTACAGTTTTGTGGACCAAGTGACCTTCTGAATGATTATCACGTGTATGGAAATTACTTCAGTACCCCAGAGGTAACATCTTAATACTATCCAATTCTAAGAATGTTTTAAAAAGATACATTTTTGATAAAATATTCATTGTATTGTTAAATGTATATTATAGCTTTGAGGATTAAAGAAAATTTTATCTCAGTAGTTTTATCATAAATTCAGTGACTGTGTTGCATTTGGGGAGGGGGGGGCTACAGGACTTCTGAAGTATTCATCTCTTCTGTACCAATTTATACTTTAGTGTAAATGTGCATGTTGTACAAAGTGTGTTCTTTATGTGAAAATGTGTGTGTGCATGTGTCTGTACCTATATATATATATATAGTTATATACATTTCTACTTAAAATTAGAATATGCTTATTTGAAACTAGTTAAATTTTCTTACAAATATTGATTTGAACATTAGAATATTGCTCCTACTGGTAATTATTTGCAATAACAAGGAATGCAAACATCAAATGTTAACTTTTATTTATATACAAATATTTGTATATTGTATTAATGTCTATGTATATTTACTTCAAACTTTCGAGATAAATCTCATAAAATAGCAATTTATTTGGTAATTCAGACTGCATTTACTTGTTTTATTTTGACAATCCATGGCTGATTGGCTCAAAAAATGTTGGTAAAGTCAGTTGAGTTACTAGTATACATAAATATATACATTTCAGATTTTTTGATGATCTTTAAGATGTCAGTATACATAATGTTACTTCCAAAGTCCTGATTTTCTAATGAATAACAATATATCTGATGTAAAATGCAGTTTATAGCTGTAATTTTGTCACAGGTTATTTCATTGAAGTATGATTCATTCATTAAAAATTAATAACTATGAACATTTTTGACTGTATTAGCAAGGGTACTGTACTAATCAAAGTGTGGTACCAAATAGGTTAATAGTATTTTGTTTTCCTCTTTTTTAATTTGTATTAAATAGCTATAGAGATTTCAAGACCTGCTTGAGATTTCTTCTGCTTATTTTTGAAGTAGAAGAAGTGTCTCCTGCTATTTTTCATTTAAACCAACTTATCTTTCTTTCATTGGGTGGTGCAGAAAGGTTTTTGCTTAATATACCAGAAAGTGAAATTGTACTGAAGCACCATCAGATTTGGTTTCTTTTGATGTAAGAAACGTATATCAGGGAAAAAGTAAGCTTCTGTTCTGAAAAATGCTATGATGGTAATATATGACAAATTTTACCATGAAAATGGCTTATCTGAGAGGTAATATTTGTACTCTTGAAATTCTGAAACTTAGACCCCTTGCTTCAGATTTGCAAGTCTCTTCTTTGATGAATGTTTTGCTTATTGCTGATCTGAAACACTTGTTTTTGTTTCCAGTGCTTTATTCAGTAGTTGTACTCTTTTTGGGATTACTTACTTCAGTAGTTATACACTGATGGGTAATACCTTATTCAGTAGTTGTACTCTTGTTGAGTAATACTTTATTTAGTAGTTGTATTGTTATTAAATACTTTATTCAGTAGTTGTACTCCTGTTGAGCAATACTTTGTTCAGTAGTTGTACTTCCTTTGGGCAATGTTTTATTCAGTAGTTGTACTTTTGTTGGGCACTACTTTGTTCAGTAGTTGTGCTTCCATTGGATAATACTTTGTTCAGTAATAGTACTTCCATTGGATAATACTTTGTTCAGTAGTTGTGCTTCCATTGGATAATACTTTGTTCAGTAGTTGTGCTTCCATTGGATAATACTTTGTTCAGTAGTTGTGCTTCCATTGGATAATACTTTGTTCAGTAGTTGTGCTTCCATTGGATAATACTTTGTTCAGTAGTTGTGCTTCCCATTGGATAATACTTTGTTCTGTAGTTGTGCTCCCATTTGATAATACTTTATTCAGTAGTTATAGTCTTGTCATATAATACTTTATTCAGTAGTTGTACTCCTGTTGGGTAATACTATGTTCAGTGTTGTGTTCCCATAGGGTAATACATTATTCTGTATTTGTGCTTCCATTGGGTAATACTTTGTTCAGTAGTTGTGCTCCCATTGGATAATACTTTATTCAGTAGTTATGCTTCCATTGGATAATACTTTGTTCTGTAGTTGCACTCCCATTGAGTAATACTTTATTCAGTAGTTATAGTCTTGTCATATAATACTTTGTTCAGTAGTTGTACTCCTGTTGGGTAATACATTATTCTGTATTTGTGCTTCCATTGGGTAATACTTTGTTCAGTAGTTGACTCACGTTGAGTAATACTTTGTTCAGTAGTTGTACTCCTGTTGGGTAATACTATATTCAGTAGTTGTGCTCCCATTAGGTAATATTTTGTTCAGTAGTTGTGCTTCCATTGAATAATACTTTGTTCAGTAGTTGTGCTCCTATTGGATAATACAATGTTCAGTAGTTGTGCTCCCATTGAATGTTATCTTCCATAGTGTATACATCCAGGATGCATTGACAATGTTTAGTGCATTCTTTTAGTGGTATTAGATTGCCATTTATCTTTGAGTGTAGCGCATAAGTTCATCAACATTAGTGACCAGGAACTGGATAATGGTCTCTGTTGCTGATCGTTATTGTAAAATAAATAACTAAGTATTTTCATTGATAATAAGTTATTTTTACTTTTGACATTAATTTATGTGTTATTCTGACATAGTTATGTATAATGACCAATAAGTTGCATAGGTTAATAGAACATTTCCATGTAGATAACATCATACAAAAGAAACACTAAAAGAATATTACATAAATATAGAATTAAATATTGATATTTAAATGGCAATAAGTCCTTAGTGGTCAAAAGATCGCTCTTTACTTAAAAAAATCAAGAACATAAAGTTTCTTATTGTTGTAATCTGTGAGACTGAGCAAATCATGGAATGACTAGTCGTGACAGTAAAATGATGAAAACGTCCTCCCTTTGCCAACTATCTTAAAGTGTTTAGAGAAACCTAAATAAGCTATAATCATAAATCAACAAAAACAGAGGTCAGAATAATATAGAAAAATTAATTAAAGTGAATGTAATTAGGTGGATGTCATTGAGTCTAGTTAATACAGTTTAAGTGCACAAAAGGTTTTCTAAAATTCTGATCTTGTAACAAGTAACTACCAGTGTTTTGTTACAGGAAGTTTGGTCTTTCTTACAAACTTATGTACATTCATTGACAGGCTGTGAAAGAGAAACAAGACTTTGAAAGGTTTATCCAATGTAGTGCACATCTTCTTTGTGATGACACCAAAGACGTTATCCAACTTGCTCTCTGTCAACCGCAAGAGTCAAAGGTATATCAGAAGGCAAAAGCTCTTGCTGAGAAAAGTGTCACCAATATTTACTTAAATTGGTGGTGAGTATTTCTGTATTCTTCTTTTGTTTTTCACATAGTGTTAACCTTCAAATATATTCTATAGAACACAATTTTCAAGTAAAAAATTTAAAAAGGTTTTCTGAAAATTATGGAAATATTATAAGTTTTTGTAAGGTGATACTAAAGGATGGGCCCCCATAAGGGCTGTTTTTGGCCCTACTATGAATTTCAATCATTGGAAAACACATCATAGCCTGGAATGTGCCAAATACAAAAACTTTTTTTTCTTTTACCCTAATCAGGGTGTTACTGAGGAAGAAACGTATACATGAAATTTGAGTGTTATTTCTTTAATCCATGTTCAAATCCATGACATTCATGTTATGCTGTATCTATAGAACCTTAGTTGTGAGTGTTGGTGGACTGATATTGCATTTACCACAATTGGGCATGTCTGTTGGATAGTTTTGAAAATAAAGAGTATGACTACTTGTTGTTACAGTGTTATAAATGTCAGCGTCTATACATGGTGTTACAGTATGTGTGTTTATGTATATATAGTTAAATGTAAATTCACGAGAGAAAAAAAATCTCAGCCACAATGCAAACATCCAACATCAGATCAAAAATCATGAGGTGGTTTATTATGTAATATTCCCTTTTGATATATTCTCTTTTTTCCTAAGTTTTTCACAATTTGTGATGACATATTTAATGCTTTTATGCTATGAACATGTATGTACATCATTCATTTTCATATTCATGACTTCAGAAGAACACATAGGTTCAAGAAGTCTTGATACAAAATGATGAAACCTTCATATATATGGCTGTTGTCACAATGTTAAAGTCCAGTCTGTTTGGGTATAAATGAATGATTTTTGGCAGAAATGGATATAATACCCATAATATGCATCCCATATCAACAAACACATTGTACAAATCTTCATATTGACTTGCTGGGAGGTAGGGATTGCTGAAAACACCACCTTCTGTTTCCTTTCTCAGTACTTTATTGTTTACTGGATTGTAGAGCCAAAAATAGTTATTATGGGAACCTGTCCTGTAGTCTGATTAGTTGAAATCTGAATTTTAACCTTTTATTTTAATTTAGGATAGTGATTCCATCAAATAAGTTAAACTGTGTTTTGGTTGTTTTTAACATCAGCATTATTTATTTACACATGGTCACTACAATCTTTTCTGGTTCCTTTACTATGAAAATTAGTTGAAAAAGAAAGGTTCATTCATACTTGCAATCAGTATGCATTCTCTACTGAATTTGAGAACAGATTTGTTTGTCCAATTGCCATTAAACTGCACTATGATAAAGTACCCTCAAAAATCAGTATTAACTAGTTTATTTGTATTTTTAACCATTTCTTTATATTATAATTTGTTTATGTGGTAAGCTGTATCAGATAAATTGAAAACATAAACAACTTCCTAGAAATCTATTAAGATAAATATTTAATATGGAAGGGCATACAAAATATTCAGTGTCAACATGTGAATAAGTCTTATGAGACACATATTAGTAGCACCAACAAACATAGAAAACAATAAGTAACAACTTCAACATTTAAAAATGCACAATAATTTATTGTATAAAGTTAAAAGCAAAATATACAGTTAAAAACTGTACAATCAAAACTACATGTTTTGGTGGAAAAAACTCACCATCTTCAGGAGATCAGAAGAAACACGGGAAATTTCATTTTTTGTACAAGCAAGTGTATGTGTATAATTTGCATTTGTACAGTGCCCTCTACAGTATAGATTTCCAAAAATTCACTTCTGAGGCACCCTAACCTAGATCTCTATTCAAAATCATTTTATGTTTGACAATTTCTAGAGATTCTCTTATGTTTAATTCATATTTTAGCTTAATTTCTTTAAGTATTTCAACCTTATCCCATTCAGTATTATGTAAAGAGTTCACCACATGTTCTGACAAGGCCAAATTACTAGTTTATAATTTTTTGATGCCATTTTTGTGTTCATTAATTTGAAACTTCAAATTTCTACTTGTCTGCTCAATATAATTGAAGCCACAACAGTAAGAGATTCTTATATACTCCACATAGATAAGTTATTTGTAATCATTGTTTTCTCTAGCTAAATAGATATAGTGTATTTGTCATAAGAATGTAATATTTAGGTGCATCTGAATCTGTATGATAAATGATAACATATTGTGAGATAAGAAAATTTTCAATGATTTGTTTAATATGCTGCACACTTGGTAAGTAAGTCTGTGAAAGATACATGAAAATTATTGTGAAATTTTTTTGTGTATTTTGTCAATGAACCAACTCACTGGAGTTTCATTACAGGCTCAAATTGAGTCATATTAAAAATAAGTCACTAAGTTAATCTATACAAGTTTAAAATATTTGATACTTCTAGTGTAAATCAGTGATAAGGTGTAGTTGTAATTGCATCAGGTAAATATTTAAAAACATTAATACAACTTCTTAGAAATGAATTATGGGGAATGTTTAATAGACAAAGGCTTACAAAATACACAAAGTATTTTGTTTGCACATAATATGCTTGTGAGTGGTAATACATGTAAACAGCCTTGAAATGCAAAACCTGGATTTTATGTGCATCACCCATATTTGTATATTAAATCAGTCATTTTTTTGAAGCATTTGATTCTGAGAAGTTTTAATATCAAACACTAAAAATAGTTTAATTTTCAATCTAGATAACTGATATATTTACTTGGAGAGTGTAAAAACATTTGTTTATGTTGTTGTAATCATAAAAATAATTTACTAACTAAAATTCTTTAAGTAATGTTTTCAGTAGTAATTAATATCATTAATTATTATCTTACTAGTATACTAACATTACATGTATTCACCCAAAAGTTGCATTTGTTTTTATATATGAACAGAATTGAGAATAGAATATCATATTATTGATTACCATCTTTAATTGTTGACTATTTTTATCATATATTTATCATGCAGCAATATGTCAAATATTCGAAATTGTGCCATGCTTTCTACAAAACTACACCTTGGTGCAGTCCATTGTGCTACTTTTAGTCCTGATGGTGCATTTGTGGTTTCTGTGGGTGAAGACAAGCTTGTTCGAGTAAGCAAAGTTCCGAAAAACAAATATTTATTGGTTTAAATGTCAGTTAGACATGTTTAGTACTGTTTAGTGGAAAAGGTTTGACAAGTTGTAAATTATATAAGTCTTAAGTAGATTAATATGACCATTACTTCTTAATTCCAATAAAAAAGTTAACTTTCAAATGCCTGAAAGAGTTTAATTTTCAAGCTAAGTAACTGATATATCTACTCATAATATAAGTGTAAAATCTTTTTTTTTTATGTTGTTTTAAGATAATACCCAAGATTTCATGGTTGTTGTTTGTTTAAATATTTCATTGTATTCTATGGATCTTTATTAAATATTTAAATTCCTTTATCACATTTTCCTAAAAGAAGGATAGAAGAAGAAATTATTATAGAAAATATTACTTATGAGAAATTATTACAATTAAACTTAAATGAAAAAGTAATGTCTGGTTAGAACTTTATGGGGCAAGAAAAATGATAAGTGAAATATCACATTTTTATATTAGAATGTTTTATTTTTCAGCCTAGTAGGTTACTATTAAATTTTAGGGCTATTAAGAACTTGTAAAGGCATTACCTACTTTTTTTTTATTAAAGTATGATTCAGTTTGAGATGGAGTTCATGAATGATAATAAATACTTTGGTACAGATATGGGATAGTCGACTGGGAAAACAGCTACATTCCTTTCAAGGTCATGATGCAGCCATTAAATGCTGTTCTTTGTCACCAGCTGGTGATTACATTGCTACAGCTTCTCAAGATGGCAGTGTCAGAATTTTCCTTTTGGACCTCAAAAGTTTGCAGAGTAATGTTTTATTTTCTTTAAACATTTTTAGGAGTTTTAGATATGAGGAATAAATTATATGGTTATTTAGGTAGCTGCAATTCAAGAGTTTCTTCTAAGGTTATTTTTGTCCATATCCTCTTTAAAATTAACTAGTGACAAACGATTTTACAAACATTTTCATATTTCACATCAAACTCTCTTGGATAGTATCTGTAAATATTGTTGATTGTTTTGTATTTGGAACTTTTATTCCATTCGTTCCTTCTCTTGTGTTTGGGGTTTCTTGTACAGCATGATTTGAGAGTTAATTCTTTACTTAAATACCACATACTTTAAGTAAAATGTATTTTAAATAATTACTTATGTTAATGACAAAATCCCTGAAAACAACAGCTGAATCTGATATTCAGTTGAATGATGTTGGATAACAGATTCAGCTGTTGTTTTCAGAGATTTTGTCACTAACATATACTGGGGAATAATGGATAAAATGATTAACAAACGTGGTGATGTAATTCCAATGCAGATATTTACAGAATGCTAAAAACCCTTACTTTAAACCTTTTAAGATCATTTTAAGAGCCATGGAAATTTGATTTTTAAATAGAATAAAGCATATTATGATGTGAGTGATAAATAATTATTTAAAACACATTTAACTTCACAAATTATAGTAATTAGAAATGTAGTTAACCCCAGAATCAACATTTTTAGCACTTAAGGCAACAGAGGAGTGAAAATTTAATAATTGAAGTTTGCCAAAATGAGAAGTTTATTAACTCAATTAGCTATACGGTAGATTGTATTGATCTACTTATTATAAGAACTAAACTTCTACAGCCTGAAACCTTTTTAAAGATCCTACTCTTAGTGTAAATATATGTAATTTGCTAATTGAATTGGAGCTGGTCACAATTTGGCTACTAAAGAAACTTAAAAAATAAAGCTCAAAAGTTTCATTTTCAAATTCCAAAATGTTTTCTTCTACAATTTTGTTTCACTGTGGCTAATAGCTTTACAAGATTCCAGAACAAACTAGAGAAAGAATGTTTAATGAAAATATGTTTAGCTGTGTAAAGCAGTCACTTTACAAGTATGTTTTTTAATTAATTTATGTTCATTAGGTATCAGTAATGAAGAGCCAAAAAGCCCACGTCCAAGATCAGGAAGTTGGATAAATATCTTCCGATTGAATGGTAAACAAGATGATAGTTCATTTGTTTTCAAGGGGCATAAAGGAGAAGTGAAATGGTGTGCATTTTCTCCAGATGGTGCTCTTATTGTTTCTGGTGGTGTTGACCGTGTGGCAAAGGTTAGTTGTTTTTAATCTTGAGGTAGTGAAAAAGTATTTGTTATACCATTTTAATTCTTTCAGTACTATTTGATCATAAAGGGGAGTTTAAACAGTTTTTAGATTTGTTGGAATGTTGTAATATTATAAGATGTGTTTATTTTATTTCATTATTAAGAATCTGTAGTTTTTCTTCTTTTTAATTTTAATTTCAAACATATTGCATTATGTTTTTATGTCAAGGTAAAAAAAATGTTTTTAAGTTTGTTTTTTTTAAACTTAAAATTCTATTATTATTAAATTAAATGATTGAAACATAACTAGAAGTTCTAAGATATGATGTTAAGTGTTAAAAGATTATTTTCTTTATAATTTTGCATCTATTGAGTTGATGAATTAGTTTGTTTTTAAAAACCAGACACATAAACCATAAACCTTATTATTTCATATTCATTAAATTGTATTTAGATATAAACACTCAAAATGTAGAGGTTCTTGTATTTTTAATCAAATAACTATTATTAATTCTCCATTAACATTTTCAAATAATTCCAATTATATATATATTAAATTTGTTTTTAAATATTAAATTACTGTTTTAGTTAAAATAGTATTTTTTGTTGTTGTTTCCTTATTTAAAAATTTACACCCAAAATATGGATTTTTA